TCGGTGACAATAATAATTGACTCCTTTGCGATTGTTAACCTATGTCGTAATGGTCAATCAAGCCGACATGACTGATCGAATGCTGAATGAATAATAATGATGTCTTGCGATTCTCAAACGCTCTTGGCCTCGGGCATGTTCGAGGTTCCTCTTGAAAGTCTGGTTCTGCTTCTCCTCGTTCAGGACCGGATCTTCTCGGACAGCACGCTTGTGCAGGAACCCGATCGTTCGGGCCTGGCAGAGCGGTTTGAAGGACTCACTCTATGCAAGATTCGCACCACCTGCCGTGCTTCCTTGCAATTCCCAGCCTTATATATCAGGGGCTTCGGAAAAATGCTTTCCATCGAGACCCCTTCGGCCACAAACTCGGACAGTATGGCTACCAAGAAGAATCGCTCCCGTCGCTGAGGTACTCCGTGATCGCTCGTGCAAAGGATGCGGTGTTGCACAGCCTGCGATTCTATGTCATAACTAGGAGCTCCTTGCACAATCGATGGGCCGAGTTGCATAGCCGGCACCTCTCAGGGAGGTCACGGCACTGTTGACGACCGCTCGATGTCTCGACCAAAGGCCGGGCACGTTTTCCATCACGGCTGCCTGAGTTCAGATTGAACATCATCGGAATAACATCATTGACGGGCCATCTGCAATGCCCTAGCTTCCCTTGCTCACCTCCCTTTGCCGAGCACCCCACACGTGGCTTCTCCTCCAGAACCCTCTTAACGGATATCTTGAAGAGATTGCCGGTCTTCCCTCGGACTCCTGCAACAGTGCATTCTACACGCACATGGTTTATCACTACTGCATTTGCTAGAATCTGATTATTCCTCTCAGTCCTTGCTGGTTGCCCGCCACGCTGTAGTCTTGGCACGGACAGGAGGAGATGTATAAGTCGACGCCTTCTACCCGCTCTCGGCTGACCATGTCCAGTGCGATTGCCTCGGGCGCACGCTGGATGAACCGATGTGTTTGGTGCATCAACGCGCGAACGTTGGCGTCCAGCTCTGACACCATCTTCAAACGGAAGTCCACGCCCAGGAAGTGCAAAGCCAGTGCCTTGGAATGGGATGCTATTATTGAAATTAAGAAACTTCTGTTTCTTGACTACACATTTATGCCGAGATGCACCGGTGTCATACCCGGTGCAGTCGGACACCACGCCGATAGGCGGCATGACGGCAAGCTCGGACTCGGGCCAAAGTAACAGTTTCGGCTCGGGCTGGACAGGTCGTTTTTGCAGCACCAAACACAATGCATGCATGGAGGAGCAAATGCCAAGTCGGACGCCTACACTCCCAATCTCTAGACCTGCAGCAGCAACAAATTAGAAGCATGCTTGCTTGATGAGCAAGAACCATGTCCTCAATGCCTTTTCCACACAAACACAGCCGCCTCCCCTGCAACTGTGTCCGCGGACCCTGTGGTCACCGGTATCGACAGCGCATTTCTCGTTCTGTCATGGCTACCATGACCTCCTTAAGCCGTGCGTTCTCGGACCTAAGACTTGCCAACTCGGCCTCCATCTTGCGCATGTGCTCGGCCCCCTTCCTCGGCTATGTGCACACTATTGAATATCAGGTCACGGCTGATTTAGGGATGCTTCCTGCAGACTGTGGCTCCTGGTTCTGGCTTTGTTGCTCCGGTTCTTCTCGTACTGCCGCTGTTTTTGCTGCCGAATCGTCTTCTCGGGCTTATCCTCGTCTGAAACTGCGACCACTGGAATCTCTTCACCGGGGTTCCTTATGGGAGCTGCCGGGAAGAACAAATCCTGTTGGATGCATACTGACTGTTTGCAGCTAGAAGTCTGAGCCTGCAACGGAACGACCTGGTCCAACTCCAGCTTGACGGGAACGATGGCCATGGGCTCGCGTTTCACGTTTGCCTTCTGCTCGGCCTTCACGAGCTCGGGCTTCACGTTTACTTTGGACTCGTTGGGCTCAGCTTGGAAGTTCTTCACTAGCTCGGGTTCCTCGTGTAGCTCGGGCTCAGCCTGCGGCTCCCGTTTCACACGGCGAGGCGGTGGTTTAATCACTGCCTTGATCACCCGAAACGACACATCCTCACGGCTCAGGTTCAGGACCTTCCGGCTAGCCATGGTGCCCTGAAGACAATGCTCGACAGGCTCCGATCTCGGACTGGCATAATGCATGAATCAAATTGTTCAAGTTCTAAGACTGTAGCTCGATCTAAACCGCACCTGTCTAATTGTGAACTCACGGTCGTATTGACTCATTGAATCGTGCTCCTCGAATTGTATACTGTCCGTGACGCACGGAGATCTTTGGGGCCGCACTGCAGCACGCATGCATGGTCGTTTCGCTCCAAACACGGCAACATGGGAATGTCAACCATAAGCTCAAACCGGACAAGCCCAGGCCTTTGGAAACAAATATCGAGCTCGGATTTGAATGGCTGGCTCCAGCCTGTCCAGGATCGAGCAGTTCTTTAATGGTCTAGGCCAACAGAGTGGAAAGAGCTTCTGTGCATATGCAGTGCTTCCTGGTCCTTGCATCGGGCCTCGGCGCAGAGCCCCCGTGTACAACCTCAACGGGTTCAAAGCTATAACAAATCCTATATTTCAACCGGTCAAAGAAAGCTGCGCAGCGAGCAGTGGCCACCGAACCTTGTGCCTGGGCCCTGGCCGCGGTTGTGCGCGACAGCCTGGCATGGTGACAGATGACAAAAGCAGCACGCGACAGGATCCCAAGCAAAACCCCGGCACCGGGGGCTGGGTCGGGGCCCGCACGACCTATATATTTGGCGGCCCACCTAAACCAAAAAGCAAGCAAGAAAAACAAATCAAACAATGTGGATGGCTGTGCCTCCGGCCCGGGTGCACGCGAAGCCCCGTGCGACCCGGGCCCCGGCGCCGGACCCCGGCGCCGGGCCCCAATGCCGACAGCCTGATTTTTGGGGCCCGCCCAGATGCCTCGAGGGCACTGTGTGTCAGACAACCTGGGTGGTTGGAGTCAAGGCCCCTGGCCCGGCGCCCGGGCCCCGGCGCCGGGCCCCGGCGCCGGGTCCCGGCGCCGGGCCCCGGTGTTGGGGCCCCGGCGCCCGGCGCCAATGCCTGCCTGATTTTGGCGGGCCACCAAAAGGCATCAGGAGCACGGTAAATCAAACAATCTGGATGGGTGGGGATGGCTGAGTCCCGGCGCCCGGGCTCCGGCACCGGGGCCCGGCGACGGGCCCCAACGGCCGCTGCCTGATTTTTGCGGCCCACGAATTTGCATCAGGAGCACTGTGATTTGACACAATCAAGAGCTCTGGTCAGACAATCTAGATGGTTGGGGATGGCTGTGCCTGCCCGGGCGCGCGGGCCCCGGCGCCGGGCCCCGGCGCCGGGCCCCAATGCCCGCTGCGAGAGACAATTTGCATGAGGAGCACTGTGATTTCAGACATCAAGAACTCTGGTCAAACAATCCAGGATGGCTGTGAGTGGTTGGGGATGGCTGTGCCTGCCCGGGCGCCCGGGCCCCGGCACCGGGCCCCGGCGACGGGTTCCAATGCCCGCTGCTTGGTTTTTGCGGTCCAGCAATTTGCATCAGGAGCACTGTAAGTCACACACTTTCCCGAGCTCTGGTCAACAATCTGGATGGGTGGGGAGGGCCCTGACCCGGCGCCCGGGCCCCGGCACCGGGCCCCGGCGCCGGGCCCCAATGCCCGCTGCCTGAATTCTGCGGCCCACCAGTTTGCATCAGGAGCAATGTAAGTCACACAATCCATGGAGTGGAGTGGCTGCCACTGTAGCTCCGCCCAAGCGCCCTGACCTGGGCCCCGGCGTGTTGGGCCCCGGCGCTGGGACCCGAGTGCTGTGGGGGTTGTGCGGGCGGCCGTGGAACACTTTTTTTTGGAAGGAGGCGGTGAATGCTTGGAGATGGTCGTTTTGCTTGGGAGGGCTGCCGCCCTGCAAAAATGCAAGGCGACGGCACGAGCATTCGCACGGACAGCCGACGGATTGGGCGCGGCGACTTTGCAAGAAACGCACGGTGACTAGGCACGCACGGCACACGCATTCTGCGGGGACGCAGCCCTGCAACAAACAAACGGTGACAAGGAGGAGCATGCGGACGGAGAGCTGACGGATTATGATTGGGTGGGGCGCAGGCGAGAGTGTGAGTGCATGCGGGAGCCGCTCGATCAACAAAGCGAGCCTCCTCGGTCCCATCGACTCGGACGCAGCTGCTGCCAAGGCCTGGAGAAAGGCTCTGTGAAGGGCTGAGGGATTTAGTCCACTATGCTACGGGCTTGTCTGGTTGTGTCTCGGGCACATCGTGATGTAAGCTGGGACGACTAAGTGGGGTTGCGAGGGCTTCGGGTTGGGAGGTTGACGTTATCGGGAGATTGACTCGACAGCCCAGGAAGCACTCAACGACCGACGCTTCAAAACAACGAAACCAAAGATACGGCCGGGGAAAATTGCATCTGACTGTCTCCGACCCTGCTGAAAACTAGCGTGAAGTCACATGCATCCGCGGTTGATCTGAATCACAGTAACTCCTGTGCAAGTCTAAGGAGGATTCTCCGATATTCCACACAAACCGACTTGCACTTCCCTCGGATGCATTTTGGGAGCCCGGCAGGAGCATCCAGAACCTGGCAGAGGGAGCAGAATCATCAGGATACTTGACACTGACATCCGTGACGAGCTCATGGACTCCTCGGGCAAAAGACCTCGCTATGCCTCAGAACTGCAATCAGGGGTGCCTCGATGAATCCCAATCGCCAGCACCTCAGGCGAGACACAGGAGCATGGAGACACGAGAAGGCCATGTGCTCGCAGCCCACGGCACTCGGCACAGCGATTTTTTCCGCACCGCCCCCCGGCTCGGACGATCTAGGTAGGCAACCCTGAAGGCCAGATACAGCCAGCTTAGCTGCTCGGGCGGTTCGTCCCACTTGAGCTAGAAGGCTCGGGCATATCGGACCGACCTGATTCTCAATTGCTGTGCTATACTGCATGACCTGATGCAACGACGTGCCAGCTGTATCTGCCAGGCAGCTTGGAGGCGCCACCGTCTTGAAGGGGTTCCCAGAAACAACGTTCTCCCACCAGAGGAGCTGTGTGTGAGCTCGGCAACAACATCCGTGCATCGCCTCGGCTGGTATTACTGTTGTAACTGTCAATGTGAAGTAATAATAATAAGGTTCAGGGATTATCAGGTTTAGGTTCCTGACACCTCCAACCCACCGTGCCTGCACGCAGCGAGTGAGCTCTCGGACGTCGGCGGTGGCTGGGGGATAACGCTCTGCCTCGGACGGCTTTGGCCAATCGTTGATGTTGTAGCCGCCGAAGAATTTTATGGCCTCGTCCGTCCAATGCTGATTCGGGCGGTTGTGGAGATACCACCCGAAGGCGTGCGCGTACTCGTTGAAAAGCTTGTTGAGCTCCTTGGCTAGTTAGAGCCATGGTGATGACATGTCAGTTCAATGTGTGAAACAGACCGAGCATCTGCCGACGAGAAGCGCTAAGGTCTATGAGAAGCTGCCTGTGCAACGACCCCAGCGGAGCCTTCTTGTCCCTCCCATCTTGTAGCACAGCCTTCGCCTAAGCTCTCGGGTAATGCTTGACATTGAATCTGCAGCAGATGCTGATGCAAATGGAGTCGAGTGGCTCCCTCGGACAAAGCCTTGCGCTTATTGTGCTCGCGCTGGTTCTTGCCCGGGTTCCGCTTTTTGGCCTTGGCCTTCGCCTGGGCTTTGAGCAATTTTGGGGATCGGCTTGGGGACTAAAATTGGGCTTGTGAGGGCTCGGCCGTTGACCCTGCCACCGACTCTGGTGGCTCGGGCGCAGGAGCTGCTGGAGCCGTCTCGGGCGCAGGATCTGCTGCAGCCGTCTCGGGCGCAGGAGTCGGAGCTGCCGCCTTCAAACATTCACAAGAGTCACTGTGAAAATCTGAATCTCTGCTCGGACGTGGAGTCGCCCTCTGCCATTTCGTCAAAGGACTGAGGGATAATGACTCGGACTGGCACTGTGTGCGGAGAATGCAAGAGTGTGAATCTGGATCATGATCGATGTTGTATGCCCCGGCGAGCTCGGACCTATAGTCATTCGTTGAAAACTTTACCTCGTTTTGTTGCCAATCTGTCTGCATGTGCGACCTAGTGCGACCGCAGCACTGCTGATGCTTGAAAGGCCACAGACCACGAGAATCATGCTGTCACAGCCACAGG